CCTTGAAGACGGGAGTAGGCAATCCCTTAGTCATCACATCAGCAAACTGTTGCGTCGTCGGCACGTGAAGAACCCAAACACGGCCAAGGGCAACCTGTTCGCGCACGAAGTGAATATCGAGCTCAATATGCTTCGTCCGTCGATGGTGCACCGGTTTGGCGGAGAGGTAGACCGCGCTGACGTTATCGCAGTAGACAAGAGTGGCTTTGTAAACATCACAAAGCAACTCCTGGAGCAGCTGACGTATCCAAGAGCACTCGGCCACGGCGTTGGCCATGACGCGATACTCTGCCTCGGCACTGGAGCGGGAGACCGTGGGCTGCCGCTTCGATGACCAAGAGATCAACGAGGGCCCAAGGTAGACGCAGTAGCCTGATGTAGAGCGTCGCGTGTCGGGGCAGCCAGCCCAGTCAGCATCCGAGTAGGCCACGAGGTCGGTGGAGGCGGAGGCCGTCAGGGTGAGTCCCAAGGACATGGTGCCGCGTATGTAACGGAGAATACGCTTCACCAGAGTCCAGTGAGAGTCACGTGGGGCGTGCATATGGAGGCACGCCTGCTGAACAGCGTACTGCAGGTCGGGGCGAGTCAGCGTCAAGTACTGTAAAGCACCGACAGTAGAGCGATAAAATGCTCCATCGGACGCGAGAGACCCCTCCAGAGCAGAGACCTTCGCCTTCGTGTCGACGGGGATGGGCAACGGCTTGCAGTTAAGAATACCGGCACGCTCAAGGAGCTCGTGGGCGTACTTCTGCTGATGCAGAAAGAAACCGTCAGCCCGGCGGATCACCATGATGCCAAGAAAGTAGTGCAGGGGCCCCAAGTCCTTGAGGGCGAACTCATCACGAAGACGAGCAGTCAGCCACTGAAGGAGATCGGGGGTGGACGCCGTGAGGATGATGTCGTCGACGTAGAGCAGCGGATATGCAGTGTCAGCTCCCTGATGATACACAAAGAGTGAGGCATCGGAGCGAGTGGACCGAAAGCCCAGAGACTGCAGGAAGGCTGCGATACGCTGGTACCAAGTCCGAGGCGTCTGCTTCAACCCGTACAGGGAGCGGGAGAGCAAGCACACGAAGTCGGGGTGCTCGGCGTCGACGGAACCAGTAGGCTGCTCACAAAACACCTGCTCGGCGAGATGACCGTGCAAGAAGGTGTTGGAAACGTCCAACTGATGCACAGGCCAGGCGCGTGAGACGGCCAGCTGAAGGACGACGCGGATCGTGCCCGGTTTTACAACCGGGGCGAAAGTGTCGGTGAAGTCCATACTCGCGCGCTGCCGAAAACCACGAACCACCCATCGAGCCTTGTAGCGCTCGAGAGAACCGTTTGGGCGAGTCTTGTGGCGAAACACCCACTTGTCAGAGATGATGTTGGCACGAGGGGGGCGCGGAACAAGCTGCCACGTGTGGTTGCGCTGTAAGGCGTCGAACTCCTCCTGCATCACAGCTAGCCAATGAGGATCCCGAAGGGCAGCACGAGCGGAGGTGGGGACGGGTGATGGCGTCGACGTCGAGGCGGTGCACACTCGTCGGCGGAGTAGCGCGTACTGGGCCGACGCACTCCTGCTCGGGCACGGATAGTCACGCCAAGTGACGGGGCAGCAGGGCCGGTGGGTGCTGCAGCGGCAGGGGCACCCGGTGCGGCGGCAGGGGCAGCGGCGGAGGCCGCGACGAGGGCCGCGGCGGCAACAGCGTCGGCCGATCCGGCGGTGGAAGAGGCGACGGGCGAGGTTGACGTCGAGCCCGTCGCAGGCGTGGCGGGCGGGGTGCCGGGCTCAACCTCGTATGAGAGAGACGGGGACCTGGGGGCCCGCACGAACTCGACCTCGGGGAAGGGAGTCACGAAGCCAGGTGGTGGCGGCATAGGGCGCCGTGACTGGGGCGCCGCCAGGGGCTGCCGTTGCGCATCGCTCCACGAAGGGGGCGTGGGGGTCGGCGCCGAAGGGGCCGAAGCCATAGGAACCTGAAAAAAAGGGAACACCGTCTCAACAAAGTACACATGCCTCGAGGTGTACACACGATGAGTGACATAATCATAGCACCGATAACCTTTGGTATTAGGAGGGTAGCCAAGGAAGACGCATGGGACGGATCATGGTGCGAGCTTGTGTGGCGCGGTGGACACGCTGCTAGGATAACAGAGACACCCGAAGATGCGGAGACCGTCATAGGACGGTGGTGTGCCGAAGAGAAGGTGGTGAGGGGCGTAGTTCCACCGAGGGCGACACGGACGAATGTTAACTAAGAGAGTGGCGGCAGCGAGGGCATCGGGCCAAAACCGAGCGGGCACGTTAGAGTGAAAGAGTAACGTGCAGACACAGTCACTAAGAGTGCGGAGAATGCGCTCGGCGCGGCCGTTCTGCTGAGAAGTGTAGGGGCAAGTCAGACAAAAGATGGTGCCGTGAGAGGCGAGAAGTGTGCAAAGAGCGACGTTGTCAAACTCTTTTTCTTTATCAGTTTGGAGTGCGAGTATGGGGCGGCCGAACTGGGTGGTGACATAGGAATAAAAGGCGGTGAGTGTGGCTAAAGCATCGGATTTACGACGAAGGGGGAAAGTCCACACATAATGAGAGTA